TAATCCTGAAGACAACATCCTTTTAGATGCACCCACATACTCTGGGACACTAGCAGCTGTAAGTATTCTTCAGCTACAAACCACTGTGAATGTTACATTTGAACTAAACAGCAATTTAGTACCTGATCTGCAGTCTTATATGCACTGTCTTTATTTACCATAAAAACATACCTAAGAATCAAGATTTTAGTGTTAACCAGTTAAATTCATAAATATTAATTCATAGAAGGTTTTCTACTAAAAGTTCTACAAAATCTATTCCAAGTTCTTCTTTCAAATCCTATTTCATTCAAGGGTCAAGGTCACATTTGGTATCAGAAAAAAAAGCCATTGGAACCTAGTTGGATTGAAGCAAATTTTTAACACGTGGGTGTTTCAACATACCAGCACATTCACCTGAAGTATTTCATGGTCAGATTGTACCATAGCTATAACTAGTCTACAATTGAAGTAGGCCTGAAGCATCCACATATGAGTATGAAAATGTCAATTATTGAGAACTATACAAAAGTAGCAAAGTTTACTTCTGACAAGTAACTTATTCAGCATAAAGTTTTATGTTAGCTCAAAATGCATAAAAGCTGTAAGAAGCTTTAGAATAAATAATACACCAGAATTTCAGTATAGGCTTCCCTTGCATCAAAAGAAATTTTGTTATTGTTTGCTGTGCTGTATTTAAATACAAGTTGTCTAATCAGCTATACTTCGTTAGGAATCTATTTTGACAATGTTGTTGCTTGCATTTTTACTTATAAATGCAGAGTGCTACATGGTGCAAATTGAAATTCCACAGAGGAAACAGCAAGATTTTTTGTTGATATTTTACCTATATTTTTTCATATTGCTGTCAACATGTCATTGCAGTAGCATCATTTCATTCTCCTTTGTATTGCTGAATATATCTATTGAGAAAAGATTCTTTGAAGAGTAGCTTATAATTCTGGCACTTCCACTGAAGTAGGGTGTAAATTGTTGTAGGAAATGAAGGTGCTATGGACTTAACTGTCTGTGGTGAGAGCGTGAGGAGTCCTGACAGAATACGGTTCAAGTTCACAAAATCCGTTCGTGCTTGCAAAACCACATGTGATTTCCTAGAGAAAAGCAGCAATTGAACAAAGGAGTTACCCATTTCTGCTCAGTTGTCTTAACAGGGCAAGTAAAGAGTAATGTAGTAAATTCGACGAGCTTCACAGCAAATTCAGGCAAACTTCCTTTTGACTCATGAGCAAGCGCAGCTTGAGATAGCTATAAAATCAGGAAGAAAGACTTTGGATTGATGAAATTTTACAATGCCAATAACAAAAAGAAGACTTTTGAATTACAGGATTATGACAGTTTTGTTCCTTCTCCCAACAGCTGAGACCCTTGGGTTGTAATATAATAAATGTTCCTAGTGACCAACATGGCATTATTCCAAAAGCTTTAAAAGAAATTCTGTCTACATGGAGCTCTGAAGATGTAAAAAATCGTAGCCACCACCTCCCCAAATTCCTGTACACTATTCCAAATGGGTGCAACCCAACTGGAAACTCTCTGACCACAGAACGCAAGAAGGAGATTTACCAGGTATGTAGCTGAGGCCTTGTGAGCCTTTTAGGTGGAAATGGATAAATTTGTCAGTTTCATTTCAGTTGAGGATACTCCATATGTGGTATTTGGGCCCATTATTGGTCTAGTAGACATTCCTCCTAGAAGTTCTTTCTAGCAGAACCTCTTTCATGACAGCTCTTCATAAGTGGACTATGCATTAGATAAATTGTTTTTCAATAGCAGCCCATTGCTGGCTGGTACCTTTGCCATGGGCTTCTTACTGGGCATGCTATAAGTTGCCTGCACAGTTTGAATACTGCATGGAACAGAGCTTCAGTTATATTCCAGTTATATACATGGGCCCTTGTACTACTACTTACTCTTGTAATTTCTTGATGTCCAAATTGGACATTTGATGGGGCCTTATATATAACAAATGATCAATCCATAGGATCATAATATGGCCCTGGTAATAGTTCCAGGGTGTAGGAAAAACTGAATGAATTTAGAGTATCTTTACCTTTTAACAAATCTTTACTTTTTATTCATTTCTTTAGCTTGCAAGAAAATATGATTTCCTCATCATAGAAGATGATCCTTACTACTTTCTTCAGTTTGAAAAGGTAATTTGTCTTCCATACTCCTTAGTAACACCTTATTTTCTGGTCCAGGAGAGAACTAAGGTTTGAGCCATGGATCTTCCTCCATGCTTCTTCTTCATATCCTACCAAGGTAGTTGTAGGCCTCACAGTGTGTGCTCCTTTCAGTCATTGTGCCATTTGTGGCATTTTATGTCCTTTTAATCAGTGGTTGATATTCCTCAAGCCTCATACAGGATAGAATTTCCTTCAGTAGTCAGAAAATGACAAAGACTTTGTGACCCGAGCAAAGAAAGTATGCTACTGAAGCAGCACTTGAAAATTGCAGCCTCTTAATGTTCCTTTCAGCCCAGTCTCTTCTTTCTTTCAGTGGAAGACTGCCTCCTCCCCATCTGCTGTACCCCATTTTTATCCCTTTGCCTTTCAGAGAACCTAAGAGAGTTCTCCCAGGTACCACAGAAAGTGGTACTGGATAGCAGCTTCCCTTTGTGTAAATTTTCCCTAAATGGGTAACAATACAGTGTTGACTTGTCTTCACACATGAATCTACAGTTGCACAGTCTTGAAAAGTACCAAATTTCAGGAAAAAATGTGGTCTTATAAGGTAGTAAAACATTGGTAGAAGCTAAAGTTCAGTATTTTCTATTTTGAAATACGTTTTTATGGGAAGAGACAATAAAACTGCTTCGTTTGCTCATTGAATAGCATTGTGTAGCTTTGTTAGAGAGTATAAGGGAAGAAGGTGTAAAAGAAGAATTCTTGATAAGGAAAAATTGTGCTGAACTCTTTTCATCACAATTTGGTCATATCTTCTGATTTCATTTTTTAATATAATGCAAAAAGCTACAGGGCTCTATTTTAGAAATCACAGTATCTGTGTACTCAATAAAGAAATGGTGGCAGAAAAATCATTATTTCTCTTACTTACGGCATCATACCAAAAGTTTAACTGAGCACTTGTATGCTGAACACTGGGCTAAGTAAGCATCAGAAAATAGCCAAGCTGATTTCTTGAAGACTTCCATAGAATATTGTAATCTCATCTCAGCAAGTTACAGAAATGTTTTGCTTGGAATACACATCTGCAAAATATTTACTATAATACTATAAAAATACTTCTTTAATAAATGAATTTTGTCTTCATAGTAAAGAAAATAATTCCATTATAATCCTTACTAGCACCTTGAATTTTGTTTTTTGGTTTTTTTCCAAGCCATGGGCTCCAACTTTCCTCTCAATGGATGTGGATGGCCGAGTTATCAGGACTGACTCTTTCTCTAAAATTCTCTCATCAGGGTAAGGCCAGAATCACACTGCTTAGCATTGTCTAATCACTTAAGGCACAAGACTTCATACAAAATGATCAGACATGTCATAGTTGTTTTTCATCTAATAACTATCCACTTCTGGAATGTACTTCTGAATCCACCACTTTTCACAGTCCACTTACCTTTTATGTCATCTCTTGACAGTCATTTAACTCCAGGTTCTGTTTCTCTTCTGAAACTGATAGCTGAGTCTCTCCCCACAGACAGCCCATTCTTGCAGACACCATCTAGGCAGAAAGACAAATTCTGGATTCCAACTCTGTTCCTGGAGCTCCTAAGAGCTTTTCTCTTCCTCCATTACTCTTTCTATATCTTACCATTCCTGCAGACTCCATGAACTTGTAATACAGAAATGATGGCGTAATTGTCCACAAACTATTCATAGGGTTATCCTGATACCTGGCCTTACTGTTCTTTCAGGTTGTTCCCTCCTGCCTGAAATAAATAAGTTGGCTGTTTGCCGTTTCACACAAGTCAACATACTTGATCCTTAACATGCTTTTGTTTATTATCCTAATAGATAAAAAGAATTAATGTAACTTCTGCACTGGCAGCTAGTAGATTGCAACCCCATCCCTGAGAAAGTGAGGAGACAACGTGATGCTAAGTCTGATTGCACTTTCAGAGTGACACTGTAAAATGGCATGACACAGTTTTATCTTGGCCAAAGACACATATGAACTTGCTGGGTCTATTATTCTTCAAATAAAAATTCATCTAATCTGTAAAGATGGGTAATAAAAATTGAAGCATAAATAACTATCTAGTTTATCAATCTAAATTCCATTTATTCTGCAGTACTGAGAGGGAGTGAAGGAGTAAAGCCATTTGCCACTTCCCATCTGTTTGTCCTAAAGCCTGAGCATTCATGATTTTTCATGATGTGAAAGCCTCTCTTTCCTTTCCTTGGATTCATGTAATCTTTATGGTTGCAGAGAAAAGCTTACAAACACAGAATACGTCCTGAAGTCTCAGAACTAAGAAGCTACTATAAGCATTACTAAAGCCCCTTAAATGTTATTATTTCATGACTTTGATGCTCAGCTTCTAAATTGCATAAGCCTGGGGCTTAGGGCAGTATTAAGATACAGATAAACATAAGTGCATAAGAGATCCTTATACTATCAATGAAATTGTTACATGTTTTCCCACACAAAGTATTAGCATATTGCATTTCTGTCGCAATATTTTTTTCTTTTCTAGGTTAAGAATAGGTTTTCTGACAGGTCCGAAGCCTCTTATTGACAGAGTTGTTCTACACATTCAGGTTTCAACAATGCACACCAGCACTTTCACACAGGCAAGTACCAAACTACCATCTGTTATATTTAGAAAAGACAACCTATTCCAAGTTATAAGAAACCACAAGCAAACAGCTTTGCACTTTCACAGTTCCTCTGCACTTTTGCAGTTTTGTTTATGCACATTTGTTGTCATTTCTGCTAAAGGAAGAGAAACAACCATAGAACTTAGAGCCAGAGCTAGAGGGTAGTCTTAGTGCATGGATAGCACAGCTAATATCCCTTAACCCTCAGATTTCAAGAATCAAGATTTGAAATATTTTAGATCTCTTCCTAGTAGGTTAATTTGAAAAACCTCAGTGTAAAGCATGCCTTGGAAAAAAGCAGTCATTTTTTTGTTTGTTTTGCATTCTACTTTGCAATTAGAACAATACTGGCAGCCCACAAAGATCTTACAAAACAGGCTGCCAATTGCAGCCCCTTTATGGTTAGTAATAAGGAAAGTATACATTGAACATGTCTAAATATGACTTCCATTTTCCAGCTGCTTTAGTTTGTTACAGAGGCACTATTAAAGCAGAGAGACTGATATGGACAGGAAGGTAAAGCAATATACATGGCCTTCCTTTTTCTCCCTGACTACCATATTTAGCTCTTCATCCATTTTTTTCTCCCTCCACCCCAACTTCCAAATACTGCCATGACCCTTGGAGACACCAGTAACACAAACTACAGTGGCCTGTTGCTGTTGCCACCTCCATTCATAAAGGGCTCCAAGAGACACTGCATGCAATTCCATGCCTGGGGTATTTTGAATAATGCATCAGGCTGTGTATCTTTTGATGATCATGGAACAGTCCTGTTTAAAATATGGTATTCATGATGTGTTTTATTTTTGTAGATTTTGATATCACAGCTGCTTCAGCAATGGGGGCAGAAGGGTTTCTTGGAGCATATAGACAGGTAGGGTCATGTCATATGCTGAATCCTATTGTCTTTCATTCTGCTACTTGTTACCTACATCAAACATTCTTTGCAGTAAACAAGTCAGAGGAGGTACATTGATATTAGGCCAAATAGATAAGGCAGGTCACCAAGACTGTCTAATTCACACAAGAGCCCTGAAGGAGCTCACTGTGAAGTTGCAGACATGCAAGTCAGAGCATGTTACCTACCACTACAGGCAGACAATCTGCCAGTCCACTGGCAGGGGGGGCATTATGGAGCTCTCATCTGAAGGGCACTTGAGAGGATCCTGGAATCTCCAAGTCAATGAATAAAGTTTTCGTCCCTGCTAAAGTGGTTGAGTCTATAGCAAAAGCTAAGATCACTGAGCACAGAATCCACTGAGAAAGACAGCATAGCTTCTATAAAGGCACTGCCTCACTAAGGTAGCAGGGTTTCACCCTCTGACATCCTTGATCTCACAGTTGCAGATACTGATGAAAAAACCTCCAGAGAGCAGCAAGGTTCATCTGCACACACTAAATATTGCCTTGTCCACCACTCTTGGAGATAGAGCACTAGGCTATGGTCTGACTCAGCAAGGCATTGTCAGTCACATACTGACTGACACACATTTGTTTTTCATTTATTATGCAGGAGGAGCATAGATTCTTTTGACTATCAGTGCCTCATTTTCAATGCTATGCTTGGATGTCATTAGAACTCCAAGCTTCCTGCTTTGGTGGGAGTGTGCTACACTCTGCAGAGGCCTGTAACAGGAATGTGAGCAAAGCACAAAAAAAGTTTTTATATCTCACTGTAACACTCTTCTCCCATGAGCACCTGCCTGATGTCCATACTGTAAGCACTAGTATTTTAAAAAACCAAAAAACCCACACAAACCCCCCCACAAATCCAAAGCAGACACACCAGCCCTAGCTTTGCCTTGTTTTAAGAATTAGGAACACAAACATAGGTTTTGCAGATAAACTTGGTCCATGCTTTAACTCAACTTTCATCGGTTCAAAAAAATGAATCCTAACTGCATCTCTTCACTTACCACTTTCTTGTAGGCCAAAAGGCAGACCTGCACAAGCCAGAAAGCTGTTCTTCCTCTTGAACTAATGAAAATAAGGTTGTAGTAGTATAGCTGCAATGTTTTATAACCTTCTCAAATCAGTTGTCATGTGGCTTATTGATGAGGCCTGATAGCTGACTGGAATCTCTTCTAGGTGATTGCATTTGTACAAGGTTATGTAGTTAGATCATGCTTTTGAGTGGGAGCTTGCCTGTTTTTTAGATCAGCTATATTTTGGGGGAAGCCTTGTCTTACTTGATGCTTATGGTTTCATCCTAACATGTTAAGTAATATGATAACAGAAAGGCTAAAAACTTCTCAATTTTGGTAAAAACTGCACAAGTGAGATTTCCCATTTCATACAAAAGTTGCAGTTGGTATAGGCTGACTCCCAAAACTGTGTAAGCCTCTGGTGGTGTTCGTGTTTGTCTATCAGGTGTAATAAAATATATCTAGAAATCAAAGCTATTGGTTCAGAGAGTATTTTTTAAAATATAAGCATAAAGTTATGCAAACTACTAAGGAGTTTTTCTCTTCAGAGAGGGGAACACATTTGCATCTGATCTATGAACTTGCTATCAGGCATTTGTCTTCTATATTCCATATAGAAGAGAAATGTTATGTGTCATTTTATGTCAACAAAAGCCACTGCACATGCTTTGTCCATGTTGAAACTTGGGTTAGGGTCATTTTCCCTAGTAAGAGATAGAATTCTTTGAAATTTTTACTTCAAGTTTGAAAGACATAGGCTCAAAAGTTTAGAAAAGGGGAAGCTGTCAAATAGTCATGACAGGTTTATCATATGATTTGCTTTTTACCTTGTCAAATACCATTTCCCTGTGTATCTCTTACACAAATTCAACCCAAATACACAAACTCTGAGCCTGAGGTTTTGCATATGTTTAAGTCCTTAATTTTCTTCAGTATGTGTGTTTTGTGCTGTAAATATTGCTAGCACAACTTGTATCTACTGATATACTAGACAATTAATAAAATATATAAATGTTTTTGTGATATATGCAAAGCTTAAGAAGCAGCCACACAGGCACTTCTTGTGTCTGGTTGATCCATGCATCATTGGAGACACACTGAAGCATTGAAGACTTCTCTGATAAATATACAAAGTTTTGTACAAACAGTATACTGTAGTGCCCATCTAGAATATGCTTATGTTTGCATAAAATGTGCACTTAGAAAAGCTTTGTTTCTGCCTTTGGAAACAAATGGACTCTGAAGCACTATGAGTTCCTGACTTGTCTGATAATTTGCTTTCAGAGTGGTGGACTTCTACAGGATCCAGCGGGATGCAATGCTCACTGCTGCTGACAAGTGGTTAAAAGGTCAGAGTGCAACACAGATAATTACTTAATTTTCTTCTAGCTATTTATCATCTTTATGCTCAAGAAAAATCACTAAAGTTCATCTCTTGACTGAAGTGACAGATAAGCACTTTAAGCAAATCAATGACATTAAATATTAAGCTTAGGACAAATTATCTATTGCTGCTGTTTTCATGCTTTTGTGGTGGGACAAGAGGATGGTGATCAGAAAAAAAGCTCACCATGTTACTGTATAAAGCAGTTTTACAAAGAGCATGTATTTCACTTCACTATGTTCTTATACCTTTTATGTTTAAAATCTCTGTCTTTAAAAGATCTTGAAAATAGCTACCTTAATGTAAGAGAAGATACAGACAATTCCTATAGCAGTAGTGATAATAATTTTTTCAGATGTCCCCTTTTGTAGTTAACCACAGAGCACATGAAGAATTTGATCAACAACAATGCAATTCCAGTTCATGACTTTTAGTCAGTTTAAGTGGAGTCAGCAATAACTGCTCAAGAACTGCCCAGCTACCTTAGGAGACACTTCCATGGGACATGGGTAGTCAGGCACCACACAGTCATTAATGCACTTACACTCCTGCTGCTTCCAGGGTTTTAGGTATGAAGTGTATCTTTTTCTACATGGCTCTGAGCGGCCATGGGTTGTTGACCTCATGTTGGTCCTCTCTTGAGTCTTCTCAACTCCTCATAACTCCTAGGCTCTTCTTTTCTTTGGATAAAAATCAGTAATTATTGTAACTTAAAGGAAAACAGTTTTGTGCCATATTAAGAGAAACTGAATAAGAAAAATTATTTTAGATCATTTACTAGGTCTGAAAGTCATCAAGAAATACAGCTTGCTAATTCAGAGCAATCACTTTCACAGAAAGTATGAGCTTACCAGTACAAGTGCAGTAAGCCCTCACAGATTTGATTAGGAGTACTTTAAATTTGGCAAGTGGCAATCCTGGCTCTGTGGTCTGCATTCCCTTTTTCATTGGAGCAACAAATTCATATCACAGAATCTATGATGTATCCATTAAAGGTGGGGCATAAGTTTCTTTCTTGATTCTATTTTCTCTCTCTCTCCTTTTCTCCAGGCTTGGCAGAATGGTACCCTCCTGCTGCTGGCATGTTCTTATGGATCAAAATTAAGGGTATTTCTGATACACAGCAGCTGATCATGGAAAAAGCTTTGCAGAAAGAAGTATGATCAATCATTTTATGGCTTATGGTCTTAAAAGAGGGAGGGATAAAATAAATTTCCTATATCTAGCCACACACAGAAAAGCAGGGGAACTTGCTGTGCACCATCATTGAGCCTGCAAGTCAGGCATTGTGGCATAGTTATGCATGAACAAAATATTTTCATGTCTGTATTCAGATGTTGCTATTTAATCAGTTTACTTAAACCATTATAATATAATATACAATGTCCTGTATACAACATATACATAACATTGATATATGTTCCTCTGTGTATGATGTCTGTTCAGTCTATATTTTTAATAGGAGAAATTAAGTGTGATTTTATTTCTACAAGTTATGATCCAGCACTATGTACTGAATAAACTACATCACATCTCACTGGTGCTTCTAAACATTGCAGCCTAGGTAACCAAAACCTAAGACCCTTTGGATTTTGTTATGAAAAGTCTGATTATAGGTTGCCTCATTTTGAAGAGAAGAAACATATTACACCATGTTCTGATACGAGTGTTTAAGCACTGAGCCTTCTCAAATTTAATTTAACATAGTATTTTAAAACTGTAGAAGTGGTGATAACTGGGTGGCTAATCAATTTTTCTTAGGTATTACTGGTTCCTGGAGGAGCATTCAATATTGATAGTTCAGAGCCTAGTTCTTATGTCAGAGCCTCCTTCTCTCTGTCTTCTCCTGCCCAAATGGATCTGGTAAGTAGATTTACTTTTTATCACATTCTTATCAAGACAAGTTCTCACACAATAATGCCTCCCTTATTTTACATACGTCTCCTTATATGTTTTCTTGAACATTACTGTAGGGTTTTTAGTCCTTAGGTGATTAAGCAGTACTTTTGAAGCAGTATTAGCTATTTCTTAAGATACTAATCCAAATGACCTGAAAGGTACCAGATTTTTAGGACCACTTTCTGTGTATCTCATGCATGCAGAGCCTCACACTCAAACCTCCCAGGAATTATTTACAAATGCTTTTCTGAAGCCAGAGTAAGTTTTGCTGTTTGCTTTAACATTAGCAGGCATCATGTATCTTTTATTTTTCAGACTTTCCATTCCTGAGATTCTGAGAGTAGATTACCTGTTGTCTTTTGTGTGTGTTGTCAATCCTTTGTAAGAAGGAATATTGGGTTTCTTTCATACAGTTTACATATATGTTGTATTTTATTTCTTAGAAAGTAATCTTTTATGTTAGGAGCATTTTTTATGTTATTTGGCTCTACCTGTAAAATCAGAGGGAAGACAGGAGACATTTATTTGTGCAGGTTTAATACTAATTTGATTCAGGTGCTTGAAACAGTTCGATATTTGTGGAGGTTCATAACAGATAAGCACTTCTATTGCCTTTTTATTTCTTCTGTATTTCTTCCTCCTTTGTAAAAGTAATTCATAACCATACTATTGACAGTCAAGCAGTATCTTTTATATGCTTCCCCACTCAACTGTTCTACCTTTTCTTTCACTTTTGGAGTCTCTAAGCCATTACATTAAGTTACAAGAGATATTCTTTCAGGGATCACTAGTTGTATTAGAAGTTGAATTCCAAATAACATTTGAAGGTCAGTATATGTATTTTTCTGTTTCAGAAAACTTTGCCTTTTTTTTCCTCTGAGAGAAGCAGTTTTGTCCAGTCAAAGCCCATACATGCTTTTACAAAATGAAAACAGAGAATATCAGCAGAACTTTGCAGTATAAAATACTGTTTGTATATGGCTAGGGCAGATTTAGTAGCTTTACAATTTGATGTGTTGCCTGTTTAACTAATGCTGAAATATAAATGTGAACATATTTGTGTCCTTGTAGGCCTTCAAGAGACTGGCTGACCTTATAAAAGAATCTTTGTGAAAAAGCTAAACAGGGCTCTTGCTGCAATCAAAATCATCTCTGGAAAGTATTTATTAACATTTGGATTTCTTCAGAACACTTTATAAGCAAGCACAGTACAGTAGATGTTTCCTTAGATCTTTTCAGCTAAAAAAAGACAAAAAATGAAACTGAAAAACAATTTGCCTAATTTTTTTTTTGCCAGAAGATTTTATTACTACATTTATTCCAGTTCAGAAACATTTGAAATATTCAAAACTAAAATGTTTTATTTCCTGTCAAATCCATGGTTTTGTTAGATTTGAATTTTGTTCTGACTTTTGTTTTCCTTTTGGTTTGGGAAACAGAGAAATCAGTTACTTAGGAAGTTGCACCTGAAATGTCTTAGCCACTATTACTTAATTTCAACTGATACATTCCTCCAACATTTTATGCTGGAATTGTTTCATGTATCACTTTCCTTCTTATCCTACTGTATAGCATCTGGTTTTGAAGGTTTGAAGATCAGTATTTAATTTTACTGAAGTTTTCTCAGATAAAACTGATGTAAGGATGTTAAAAAAATTGAAACTGATTCAGCAAAATTAGGCTATGATTACAAATCAAACTAAATGGCTTGAGGTCCCTTGCAATTTGCATGGGCTTTGCAGTTCATTCTCTACTTTGTAAAAGGTTTTCTGATTGCTGCCTTCTACTTCAGTCTGTGAAGAGTTACTTTGTTAGAAAATCTCTGGTTTGCCAAGGCATGTGGATGTGCTAATAGAACTGCTCTTAGTTAATCAATCAGATGTGGTTTTGAATGGAGAGTGTAACTGAACAGAGGACGTAGTGGAGTAGACACTACCCTGACACTGCCAGAGGTACAAAGCAAGCCAAATGAAAAAAATTAAAGAAATGTTGCAGTCTCTCTTCCCTTGGTCATTATCATCCCAAACATTTGATACTTGGCGACATGTACAAAATCTTCAGGAAGTTTCGACTGAACAGATTCTCTATTTGGCTCAGTGACTTTAGTGCTGTTTACTGTTTGGATGAAAGCACTGTGGTTTTCCACCACTATCAGATGGCTGTTTCTTTTTGCGCAAGTGTTCAGAATTTCTAAGCAAAATACATGTTCAAGGAAGAATCCAGCCAATCCTTCAGCAGCTCAGGTAACCCAACCAAGTAAGGGTCTGACACAACCTTGCTTCACGGGAAGTTTCACAAGAGTCATGGCTTTAGTGCTAACAATGATTTTCATTCCCTCTTTTCCCCTGTGTCATAACAAACCAGCACAGATGTGTGCCTTTCCCAGCATCCCTCCTATTGTCAGGATCATTCTAGTGCCTTCAGTCCAGCGTCGCCTTTTATATCTGTCTCAAGCCTTTTAATTCAGTCACACATCCAAGCCAACTCTGCACTTTGCAGCTTCTTGAACAGCCTAAGATTAATCCTTTGCTCACTTCCCAGATTACTGCAGCTTTTAGGCAAATCCACAGGAGAGGGGCTGCTGCAGGTGGGCAAGGTGGTGCTCTGGATAAGGTTGGCCCCTCCACAGAGTCAGGCTGGGCTTGGGCAGCCAGGACCCATGAGGTGACAAAGTGTGGGGAGAGACACAGTCCCAGATCTGCTCTCGGGGTGCCAACACTGGCTTTGAAGACAAACTTGTCCCATTTTACACTGTTTGATGGTGCTAATGAGGGACCCGAACTAGCAGTGCCTCCTTCACAGCAAGGTTTCATGTCTCAACAGAGTTTCTTAACCACATGTAGAAAGTTTGAAAGCTCTGATACTGCTATCAGTAAGGCAATTTTAATCTCGGGCTCAATTTAGAAAATCATTTTATGCAACAATGAATTGATGTGGCTGTTTAATTAAAATCATACATTTTTATAAAGGGATAAATGTAAATGTCATTTAAGACTGATTTTAGTTCTCAGGTAAATGCTATTGTCACTGTCAAATACTTTTGTCATATTGTCATTCAGTCAAACCTGAATTTGAAAAACACAATAAAAATATCATTATTAAGCAAAACCTCTATCAGTGATATGTTGAATAATACACCCCTTAATTTTCAGAGATCTAAATGTTTAGTTGATTGTAAGCAAAATGCAATTCCATTTGCAGCACATTAGCTGATTTTGCTATCAACTAATTTAATTTAGAGGGAGTTTGGTTTTTTCCCTGACTGTGGTGAAGCATCTACAATTAAATTACTATCCTGAACAATGCAAATTGAACAATGGCAGTGAAATCCTACATGCACATGCTGTTTCCTTGAATCTAAACCCACAGTTTCTGGTCTCCTGGGAGAGAGCATTTGCTGTGATTAAATGTTTCTGGAGGAAGCCACCCAGAGACAAAAGGAAAAGGGTGGGCAACAGTTCACACAGAAAGAAATTATGTGACAAAGTTTTGGTTTTCCCTTTCTATTTTGTCCATCTGAGAGCAAATAATCTCTCTCATTCACAGCTGGTTATAAGCTATCATATACAAGTGACACAATCTACCATTGGGGAAGAGAGGGTAGAGAGGAAGAAAAGTGTGGTAAGCACATCCTCTAATCCTACCTAGTTCTGGGCAGTTGTGGAAGAGGTTGCAGCAGCCTGCCTGACATGGGCTGCTCCAACAGCCTGGGTCTCCAGGCTTTTTTCCGAGTGGTCTTTTAGCTGCCTGTTCTCTTGTACCTATACTTTGGTTCCACTGGATTTTCATGCTTTTGGCAGATGAAAAACATCTAAAAATTCTAGGCAAATACCCACTGTATGTGACCCAAGCAATTCTGCTCTACAAGGGATACAAATCTCAACCCACACTATGCACATCACATGTACACATGTTGTTCCACATATCTAGACCCATGCAACACTTCTGCTTTGTGAGTTGTATGGATGTAGCAAGGGAGAGCAGTTCTCCCCTGGGGATATGGAATTATTAACAATGCAAACTTCAATGTAATTCTATTTATTTTGCATAAAATACATTTACAAATTCTAGGTTCACAAAGGTCAATGATATGAAGGAAAATATTCCCCTTTACTTTCAAGCAAGAGCCCTTCAGCACAGCTGTGATTAATGAATAATTGAGGAAAAAAGATTTTTATGGGGAATTCACTTGAAGAGAGAATGTATGTGTGTATACAATCTGACAGTTTTTATGTTGAACTGCGAGCATGCAGAGGATTATTTCATTTAATTGAATGTCAGTCCCTGAGCATCAGTGGTGGTGCCCAAGAATTTGTAGTGTTTTTGTCAAAAACACTTGGTTTAGTTGGGGTGGTGTTGCCGTTCATGACGACCGACCTCCTTCGGCTGAGACGGCACGAATGTATGTGTGTATACAATCTGACAGTTTTTATGTTGAACTGCGAGCATGCAGAGGATTATTTCATTTAATTGAATGTCAGTCCCTGAGCATCAGTGGTGGTGCCCAAGAATTTGTAGTGTTTTTGTCAAAAACACTTGGTTTAGTTGGGGTGGTGTTGCCGTTCATGACGACCGACCTCCTTCGGCTGAGACGGCACAGAGGCCCATACCATACCACGGTCCAATGAGCACTGACACCAGTATGAGGATGCTGCAAATGGCGTTTATTGCTTCACTGACACCTTCTTATATACAATCACTCCTTCGTTAC